TTAAATGGAAATAAGCATTTACTGGAAATGCTTGGACATGGGTATTTAAACTTAGCAGTAAAAGAAAACAGAAAAAGAGAACCTGCCCAGCTAGGTACAAAAAAACCAAAATACTGTTCATTACTTAAAATCAATTAGTTCAAATGGAAGCAACATTAAAACCAAATGAGGCTAAATTCTACTTTAAACTATCCATTTTTCAATCAGCTTTCAGTGACATTCTTATGAATGAAAACAACGCTGTGATAAGCGTAACACATTACAGAAACTATTACAAAATAACAGAAGAGAAACACACTGTCACCACACAAATGGGAACACAAACAGAAACATGGGGAAAAATAAAAGTGACTCTAAAGAGAAAACAGGCTATAAGGGGAAATAGGAAGCAAAGGGGAGCCTCTGTGCAGTGCAGACTAAAGCGGCAGACAATGGGCTAAACTGGGCCGACACTGCATCCCACCCACCACTGGTTCATACAACCACAAAACTGTATTTCTCCTTTTAGGAGGAACACGATCATGCGTGATCAAAGGGGAAGAGGGGGGTGTGTAGGCATCTTATCCAGACGAGGCTCACAAACATGTGCAGTGTCAGACGGCATTAAAACGAGATTTCCCCAGGATCAGGAGGTATCTCACCACTTTGATGAGATTCCCATTCAGGTCTGGTACCTCTTTGCAAACTGCACTTGTGTTTGTAATTGTCATATGGCTGAATAGTTCAGTATCAGATATCAGTCTAAATAAGCATTCAGAAGCATTTCCAATTGTAAAGCAAGGTCAAGGTCAAATTTATTTATATAGCATGTTCAAAATCAACCAAAAAAGTACCAACGTGTGTGTGTGTGTGTATATATGTGTGTGTGTGTGTGTGTGTGTATATATATATATATATATAGAGAGAGAGAGAGATAGAGAGAATAAACTGAAACTAAACACAAATTAAGCAGAGCCATTACAATAACCAAAAGCCAACAATTAAAACTAGGACAATATACTGTGACTGAATAATCATGTATTTCTTTGGAAAATTAAACAAGCAAACAAACTTTCCATTACCAGACAGATTGTTTGATTAAGGCAGTTATACTGAAAGTTTTGTCCAGCTTGCTTGTCATTTTACGTTTAGAAGGCATGATACAATCAGAGAGTAATACTTAAACTCGATCGATATCTGAAGCACACATATGGAACGCCACCCGCTGCCCGCCGTCTCCCTGGCGACTCTGTTTTCAATCTGACACAATTTGCATCGGCTGCTTTTCTTATTCAAACCTCCTCCTACAATGACCTTTTCTATCTATGGCAAACAAGTAAATCTGCAACCTGCCCACTGCACCTGCAGCCTTACCGGAGAGGCAGCAATTGAGCGGACGTCTCAAGTGAAGTTCAACCAAACATGTGGCATTGTAGTAAAGATCACCCTTCCCTGTGTGGGACAGGACCTTCCTGAAATGTAATACGGTCAAATTTACCCATCAGGCCTCACAAAACGTGCATCTGTATACACAGAGGGTGTAAACAAAACTGTCTTGTAATGAAAGGCATTTTTTCCAGCAGAAATGGCCTTCAGCAATTTAAACGGTTCTGCTTCCATCATACAATTTTTCATGTCCAGGAAACAATAACAAGTGATGACAACTTCAACAGGAAGCTGAGAAATTAGCATGAAAGACCTGTTAATTTAATAGAGATCACAGCAACTAGAGAACATCTTGAGCACACCTCAAAACTGGTACAAAAAACAAAACAAAAAAGCACTATATACTTTGTACGTTGCAATATTTAAAAGGTATGTTAAGTGTCTGCTATGAGTACCAGTGAAGTAATAAATTATTCAGAGAGCTGAGAGATATTCCCAAACGGCGAAGCGTAAATGGGCCGTATTTCCAAACTCATGTCACAGAGAGCGGGGGGCTCGCTCGTTACACTCTGTGGTCCATTTTCTCCCATAAAACTCCAGTGAGTAACAACCAAACAACAGTGAGTAACAACCAGACAACAGTGAGTAACAACAGTGTTTCTGCACTGTAGGGTCAGCACCTTCTCCTATTTTCAACTAATTCACATGGTTTGAGCCAGAGGCTCCCAGTACAGAACATGGCAGACTGGAATATACGCAGGATTTTATTCTACCCAAAGTGCCCACAAGCTGGAAAGAGCTAATTAATTCCCTAAACTGAATAATTCCAGTGTCCTCAGCGTCCCTGATGACATTGTTAGTGGTTTGAAGAGAGCAGTAAAACCTGAACATGGGGAACCTCCCCAAGCCAAAACTGTGAACCCCCGGGTCGTAAAGACAGAGCTGGAGAACCGGGATATAAGTCAACAGCCTATAAGGGAGGGGAGGTTCTAATACACACCCCTCCTGGGCACAGCACCAACTTCCCTCAATGCATCACAGGAGCACAGCAGCTGCCATGTGAGACGTACCTCACTTCGGTGAGCTGGAGGTACGTCACCCATTCTCCTTAGCAGACCACGGGGGAATCATTCAACACATGCAGCCAAACAGAGCCCAATGCTAAGTGTTCAGCGGCAAACACAATGACAGCCGGTCCATCTGGACAGAGGTGACTGGGAGTCCAGAGTGGAATGCATTGTGTTGCCATGGAGATTGCTAAAAGAGCGGACCAGGCCTCTCTAAAGCGATCCTCACGCTGCCTGCAATGGGGCTCCTACAATACTATGCGAATCCGGTATCGAAGGAACGGACACATCAGGAAGAAAACATTCCACTCAGCGTCGCTGCCAAACACGGCTGAATACGCCTTTCCCTTGCTACGTTTTACCCATCAAAACCGGTGGACAAAAACAACCTGCAGACTGCAGAAGGCAAAACGGGGCTCTCATCACCAGCCAGAGAACCAGGGATGCTGTGGACCGGGGTCAGGGACAAACTGGATGGACGCACTTCTGTAAGAAAGGCATCACGTGAAGACACGAGAGGCCGCACGCGAGCAGGGCAAATGAATGGCTTCCCAACGTCCACTGAAGCATACCAATTAATTTGAGTCTGTGCGTAACAATAGAAATATCATTTCAAAAATGAATGGATAGATAGATAGATAGATAGATAGATAGATAGATAGATAGATAGATAGATAGATAGATACATAGATAGATAGATAGATAGAGCAACAGGTTTAATCTTTGGTTTCTATGACTACGAAGAACATGTCCACCTAACTGCAAGCTACATCGTGCGTGACATCATCAGGTCATGCTGGTTAGTTTCAGACTGCAGCGTAGGTGTTCACGATTTCCTGGGTTACAGGAAATGGCCCCCACCCCACTGCAGCACGATCAGCAACGCCTGCGCCTTAGACTGTGAGATCTGACATGTCCGGCATGTATGGGAAACAGTGCCAGGGTGATTCTGGATGCGACTGTCTGCTGGTGGGGGGTGGGGTCAAATGGAGCACCCTCCCACCATATTCTCATATACCCGTGGACGGCACCCCCGGGCAATCACCCCTGTTGTGATACTCAAATTGTCAGCGCACCCTGTGCTTGGGGGGTGGGAGGGACAGGCAGAGAATGCAAAATAAACTAAATTGTTGACAGTCAGTTAACTGGATCTGGACCTGCTGTCAGTGTTCATAAAATGTATCTGCGACATAGTTTGCGCTGTTGGTGTGTCGTTCAGTAGGCTAAGCCTCTCTGCCTGTCATCTGAAGGCTGCTGATTTGAACCCCAGACTTGGCAGGATAGTTACATGCCTGTGGGCCCTTAACCCCCAGCTGCAGGGCTGCTGCACGCTGTGCTAAACCCCCCCCCCCCCCCTCCTCATAGAGTGCAGAATGGGGTATGTGAAGAGAAGTGCACTTGTGTGCAGATTGAAAATAAAGGGTCATTTCTACCAGGGCAACTAACTGAGGATTATAGGCACATCACTGCAAATGATCAACTCAGACCTCCAGATTACAAGCCTGTGCCAATCCTGCAAGAGATCATACATTTTCTTGGGTTTTCAACATGATCTCGTCAACTGGAAACGATAATATATTAATTATGCAGGTGAATTATGGCATGATCGTCTCACAGAAGCATGCAAATGAATCTACACTTATTAGGCGTCTGAGAATGTAATATACTTGTCCTCATTTTTAAAGTATTGTTTAAATGTTTCTTCAGAAATGTTATGTATGATGTCATGAATGACTTCTTATAGCAAAAGAGATAAACTAGTAACATGTTACGTAAAGGGTTACATTACTTTGCACAATCCGGTTCCTTTGAAGCTTATATTGCCGGAAAGGAGCAACCATTTCCACTATAAAGGGCCTGTTTACCAAGAAAAATGTCACAAGACGGTTTCTTCTGCCCCAGAAGGCGCCCAAACTTCCCCAATCCTAGCATCTCTGACTTCTACTAACTTGTCTTCAGTATTAAGGCATGGCACGTGTACTCGGTGACCTGAAGTTTTTGTTAAGTCACTGGACCCGTTGTTCCAGAAAACTGCACATCAGCAAAAGGGATTTTGAAAAACTCAGCGATGCAACAAGCGCGTCTTTTGCTGTCTTTCCGCTACTTTATCTAACCCGCTCGCGCCTTTTCGTAATAACCTGCATTATGACGTCACTTTCACGTTCCACAACTGGATCCCTTTCCCACATCTGGATGCTGTGCCGAGGGACGACTTCAGAGGAACCGCTAATGCAGCAGCCCAATGTAACAGCTGTTTACTACAGACGGGAAAACGCGACATCCAGGGGAGCTACGAAGGAACACGATGTTATTGTTCGCGTTGCTGCTTGTAACCGTGACGCTTATTTAATTTAATGTTAGATGCACCCCTGTCACAGCTGGCTAAGATCCCCTCCACCGAAGTCAGCTCGCCATCTGCAAATTAATGAGCTGTCCAGGCTAGAAGGCAAGGCCAGTTGGCAAGGAAGTTTATTTTTATGGCACCTGGCTCACGTAGCCAGCTAAGAGGGAACGAAAAGACAGGTGGAATCGCCGTAACTTCTGGAAGTCGGTTTAATCATTCCCTACCTTACCAGTCGGTTCGCCTGTTTGCGGAGTCAGAGAAACGCGTTTCTTAGCGGCGACTGTTTTTTGTGGTTGTCTTCTGATCTCGGGGGTCCGTGTTATTCCAGAAATCCTCCTGCTTAGCGAGCATATGTGAGAAGGCAGCGCCGCGGTGTCGTTCGCCGACTCGCACTGCCACTATGCAGGAACAGGCAGTCCTTCGCAGGGAGACGACAGTCCCCGCCCCCCAGGCTGCGCTCGGCGCTCCCCAACCCGGATTCCTCATCGCCAAGCATTTCAGTACCAAGGCACGCCGTACCTCCAGGATCACCCCGGTTGTTATTCCTTTATTTCAGAAAACCGAAAAGTAAAAGGCTGCAAAGACGTTTATAGGTCGTTGACAATATTGCTTCAGCGGAAAATGCCTGTTTCGTTAATAGCTCACTGTAGCTGAAGCGATCAGTATGCCATAATTTTTTTCCCACGCAGTAGTTAGGAAATATAAGGCAATTGTTAACAGATAGTTGTGTTCTGAAAACGAAAATCAACCGCGTTATTTTGTCATGTTTGGCTAACTTATATGTAATTGCAGAGTCTGTAGCCTATCCAGGCATTATAGTATAACATTCAAATCTTAGACTAATATTTTGAATATATTTGGACTAATAGGTTCGGGAGTGAGATACCTTTTAAGCTGCGTGTATATAATTTCCATATGACTTTTATGAGATACGTGTCTAAAACGGACATATATATTCAGTTTAGTTTAAATATCAAGTGGTCAGTTATGTCACTTTATAATCCATTCCATGATGTATTGGGTGCATAAATGGTCCAGACGGTTGAAAATTTGCATGGGTCCCTCGAACAGAACACTCAGTGCTTTTTTCTTCAGATGTGTGTGTGTGTGTGTGTGTGTATATATATATATATATAGTCCTTTTTTATGGATTCATGTCATTGCACAGCGCATTTATTTTGTCGCAATGTGCGCCATCTAGTGGCAAGATCGCTAAGCAGGTTCCTTAGGTGGCATGTTTTCGGCCTTGTTAGCAAAAGGAGGACCGCTCGCAGCTGAAGTGAGTTACTTCCAAAAACCCAGTGAGACGGTTAAAAAAGAAAATACAAACCTCTTCATAATTATCGATGTAGTGACATAAAGACATCTGATTTTTTTCCTCCTGGTTCTCCATGGCAGTGGTGGCATGGTGGTGCAGTGGTTAGCACAGTTGCCTCACACCACTGGGATGTGGGTTCAAGCTTCCGCCTGGGTTACACGTGTGTTCTCCCCATGTTGTCGTGGGGTTTACTCTGGGTACTCTGGTTTCCCCCCACAGTCCAAAGACATGCTAAGGCTGATTGGAGTTCCTAAATTGCCCATAGGTGTGCATGTGCACATGACTGGTGTGTGAGTGTGCCCTGCAATGGGCTGGCCCCCCATCCAGGATAGGATCCCGACCCCCCCACAACCCAGTAGGATAAGCAGGTCAGAACATGGATGGATGTGTTATCCATGGCACCATGTTTATATCAAAACCAGTTATTTATATTGTCTTAATGAAACTGACATTCACGATTCTATGTGTATATTCGTATGAATATAGCTTTCCTAAATCTTTATTCTAGAATCAATGCAAAACCAAGAAGAAATGCCAAGGAATTGCAGAGGTCCGTTTTACAGAAGAATTATGTTTAAAAATTATATCGCTGTTTTTCAGAAGAAATCAAAATTCTATAAAAACACAAGTCAAATGTATTGTCCATGCTTGGTTCTAATATCAGAGATTAAGGTTGGATTGGCGTTGAAATGAAAGGCATTGAGGTTCTAATTAGAACCACAAAAGGAACAACAATTTCATTTTTTATTTGAGAATACCAAAGTATTGACCACTTTCCTGATATCAGCGTTCCCTTATATAAGCCTAGGTAAGCTCAAGGCAGAGCTCCTCAAAACAGTTCAGCGGTTTCCTAGCAACATATCCGGTCTCTGATAATTGTGTAGAAAAGTGTCCAGGAATCTCCAATGAAGCAATTGCCACTCAACTCATTTCCTGCAGGACTTAGGTAAACACAACACTGTGGGTTTTGTGTTGGTTTTTAGCATGAATAGTTAGAATCAGATTATAGTGTCCTAATTAGTCAGAACTAGATTCCTCACTCATGTTCATGAAATAAACACGAGACAGGTGACTGTCATACAAATGCTGAAAATAATAAAACTTCCAAATGTAAACCATTATTATTTATAGCCATGTTACACACACTGTAAATGAGATCTCTTCCTTAATATTACTGATTCTGCTACCAGTAGTATTGCATGCCGTTGATAATAGGCAGATTGAAGATGGTTAAAGTTCACAAAGATAAAGAAAGATAAAGAAAACCATAATGATATTATGCAATCCAAAGCATTACATTATTAATCCTTTCCCACGCAGAGTCTAGTGCAGGGCACAGACAGACACACACACACAAGCTACGGTACCTATATCTTTTTGGGGACTATCCATTCATTTATATGGGCATAACCGTAATACCAAGTATGGCAACCTTAGCCATAAGTAACCAAATAAAATACAATACTTGTGACTTTTTTGGTTTATTTTTATTGCACTCATTCAGTTTCAGTCAAAATAACAGGTTTCTGTCATAGTTGGTCCCCACAATGTAATTCATACATGCCCACACAAAAAGGTGTTACTTCATTTAACTGGATGCTTTTGGGCTGTGAGGGGAAACTAGGGTACCTTTGCACACAAGGATGGAGAACACAAGCTCCTCCTGCCACCTGAGCCACAATGCCCTCCATTAACCCTTAGGTCTTCAGGCTCTTGTACCATCTATATAAACTGAGCATGTCAGCCCTGTAAACTGAGGCTGCTGAAGCCTCTTCCTCACAGGCTGCATCTGTGACATGTTGGCTATTTTGTTCGTTGTGCACAGCACCCAGTAAAACAAACACACCTAATTCAAGGTGTTCTATTACCTGTTTCCCTGTGTAGGTTCATTTATGGTTTAGTTCACAGTGTGTTTCCCCTTAATTCTCACCTCTCGTAGCCTTTGTTGTTGTTTTTTTATATATTTGTTCTCAGTGTGTTTGGTTAGTTCTGTTCTTAATAAACCCAGCTATCCCAGGATCATCACTTTATTCTGCCCACACCATACCCCAAGTTCATAACAGGTATTTCTGCATTTTTTCAGCAGTTATTAAACTGTGTAAATATGTACAACTTTTTTTATGATGGAAGAATAAGTAAAGGTGATTTTAAAATATGTTCCTCCCCCCCAATATTTTGGACTCACTGATACTCTGTGTAATGGCTGGATAAGGAGTGCAGGAGCTCCAAGTTTAATTCTAGAGTTGTAGTCCACAGACAGGCAAAGGGTCAAAAAGCAGGTAGAAGTAAATGAATCCAAATAAATCTGAATCGTCCAAAAACGTTGTCCAGATACAGATGGAGGTCAATAACAGGAATTGAAGGCAAGTAACCAAATCCCAAACGCTCAGTAAACAAGAAGAAACCCAGGAGAGCAAGTGGGGGTCACCAGCCTAAAGCAGATCATGGAACAACCACTTGGAATGGTGTAGCACTCAATACTCCATAAACGGACCACTGAAACCAGGACCCTTTAATCTATGCCTGACTGATCCAGTTGATGATTTACAGATGTGTCTAATATTGAGGGAAGGTGGAGTAGGGAGGCATGGCTGGGTGTGGCTGGCTGGGTGCTTGGCTAGTACAGGTGTGACACCCTGTTCTGGTTACGCAGTTATGGAGAAAGCCCTCGATCAACTCAGTGGACTGCAAACAAAGATATAGGCGCACTTTGTGGTCCATAAAAGCAGTTTCCATAACTTCTTATTGACTGAGAAGTCACAGTGCCGTGCAGCCTCCCCCAGGAAGAAGAGAGCACAAGTAGCACATGCATTGGACAGGATGTGATACACACATACAGCTTTCAGCGCCGCCCAACACAGCTGAACGTGGTGAAGAGCCCTTGGGCACCCCTCAGAGGCCAACATGGATAACGGACACATTGATGGACTTTGTCTTCATTCTTACAATTCCAGCATATACCTCCCTTTTAGCAAGCATGTCCACTCTTTTCTGTTTTCAGTGATGTTAGTACAGGGGGTGGGGGGGGGGGGGGGTTGGGCAGCCAGTTGACCTTGGACCCCCAGATGTCTTTTTTCTTCCTACTTGGGAGTTTTTGGCTCCTCTCCTCCGTTGTCTTCTGGCTTTCTTCTTTCTTTGTTCAGTTTCTTTCCTTCGTCCTTTCCCGTTCTGTATCTCCCTCTACTTATGTTGTATGTACTGTATCACGACACAACCCTGTAAAGCGCTTTGGGAGAACGTTGTTGTGAAAGGCGCTATATAAAAATAAACTGAATTGCATTGAATTCAAAAGGATGAACCGGATGCTCATTTTTCTTAATCATAATTAACTCCTCCAGTAATCCAGGTCACCAGGTCAATGAGAGCAGAAACATTTCATTGACTAAGAGCACACTGCTCGAGTGAAAAGCAGCTTCCCAAAGCAGCGTGTGACCTCTGCTGTCTCAATGGCTGCAAAGTGTCTCTCTTTTTTTTAGCTTTGTCATCAAAGCTTTTGCTTTATTTAGTTTCTCATTTGCTTTTTTTTCCAGATACACAGGATACACACTGATGGCACAAAGAGACAAAGAAACAGCCACATCGGATGGCAAAAAAAAATGTTAAAAAATGCTTAAAAAAAATCACTTGAGCGCGTGTGTTTGTTTCTAGTCATGCATATATTACATTTTGGGGACCAAATGCCCCCTCAAGGTGATGAAAACCTGTACGTTTGACCTGGGGATATTATTTCAGTCCACACTGGGGAAACTCCATTTCATAAAAATCTGTGACTGCAATCAAAAAGCTGAAAATGCCAGAAGTCTTACATTTTGTTTGGTTTTGTGATGCCCAGCTCGTCCGATCCTCCTGTGTGCCACGCCCCCTCATTTACCCCGATTGTTATCAGCTGTTTTGTGTTATTTCTGACTGGTCCTGTGTATTTCAGTCCGCGTTCGAGTATGTTTCCCTAGGTCTGTCATTGAAGTCTATTCACGTCTGATTGTGTCGTGCTGCTTGTTCCATGTCCCTGCTTCGTTTCCCCATTAAATCCCATGTTACCTGATCCTTTGTATTCCTCTCCTGCTTCACCGCTCTGTGCATTGCGATCGGT